GGGGCCGCTGCCCACATCCCGCCCGCGCCGCCACAGCCGCGCTGTCTGGCAGCGAGGGAGGAACGGAGACCTGCGGGCAGAGCCCTCCCAGCCCGGCACCCCCTCCCCGCCTGCCCGGCATCCTCTCCCCAGAGCAGCGGGCGCCCGCAGGCACCGCCCCGCCCCGGAGAGCCCGGGATCGCGATCCCGCCGGTTCCCGGCCTTTCCGAGCGGCTGCATGCTGGTGAAGCCCGGGGCTTGGTTTCTTCCCAACGGGGTCTCCCCACACTTTTGGTTTCAAAAAGAAAGCGTAGGATGGAAGCATCATGTCGCGGTCAGCTGAAGCTGCGCCGGCGAAAGGGAGCTGGGTTATGATCTAGCGGTATGGACTTCCCGGCTCAGATGAGTTTACACCGTTCCGCCACTACAGACTGGCCACAGGACACACATGAAAGCAGCCATGAGTGTTTCTAGATCGGTCAGGTGGGGATTTCTAAAACAGCTGCATTATTATGTTATAGTTGCTGTATCTTATCTATTACGTTGCAGTATTAAATTCACATGGGTTTTTTACGGCTTAGGTCTATGTTGTTTTCTCAAGGGTGGCCACATTACCCCATGGTGAAGAAAAATGTCTGTTTCTTGTAGGCTAAAGTGACAATTATACATTGCTGAAAAACAAAAATCCCCGAGAGCTACAATTACAGGAGAAATGTGATTAGGCATTATTTTCTCTGCCCTTTCTTTTATCTGAGCAACTCTCCAAGCAGCTCTTGAAAGTGATACTTTATCATATTTGCCTCCTCTGAGTAAAATGATATGACTGAAAGAACCAGATGCCTTTATTAATTGTGATTTAAAGTTGAAAGGGGGCAGTCATTCATTGACATATACACAGCAGCAGTAGAAGCAGCAGGTCTTAACACACACAGAGAAGGTCCCAAATATTCACTTAAACTACATCCCTGTGGCTCTCCAGTCAGCCCTGTTTATATTTAGTGAACAACCTGTATTTTCTTGTGGCAGGTGGGTTTCTGCACTGATGTTCCCCGGCTGTCCAGGAGTCTCCAGGAACTGTGTGATCCCTGAGTCAGCTGTGGTTTGTGTTTGCTTGGGGATACCTTTGCACTGACACAAAGTTTTTAAAGACATCTGAAGGAGAAAGGGAACAATTATTTTTTGTTATTATTAATTTGCTTTTCCAGGGGCCAAGGCATTCCTGTGTTTTTACTCTCGTTGGCTGCACATCTGCCTAGGTTTATTTCAACTTTAAATTGTTAAGTACTCTCCCTTTCTTCTGCGTTAGGCATTGCATAATAGGACTCAAAGCCTCTAGTGGCTTGGGAAAGCAGGTTGTGCTCTGCTGCTGGGAGAAAAAGTAGGACATGGAGAGGTAAGCCCCAAAGAAGATACCCAGATATTTGTCCTCAGTAGGATTTATTTGATCGTATTCCATCACACTGGGAGATGCCTCCCCTTTTTAGCCTTTAAAAGATCACTCAGTCTTCTGCAACTACATGAGTCACAAAGCTTTGTCTTTATATTAACAAAATAATTATGCAACTTTCAAAATCATGAGAGCTGATAACAGCCTGTCCTCCAGCCAGCTTCCCTGTCTGGTTCCCTCAGGCATAAAAAGACAGGGAGGCATTCCAAATTCTCCTCCTCCATGCCTCCTACCCACCTCTCATCTATGTGTGCCAGTCTCTTCTCTCAGCTTTTGTATCCTGTTAATAAGATAAGGATCACAGGCAGTGACAAAACTGTTCTCTTGAAGACTAAGAGGTGACCAAACTAACCTCTGAATTTTATGCTCTGTTAAAAAAAAAAAAATATCTAAAGGTGTTAAAAAGGTGGTACACAAATGTGACACACTCCTATCTGAGAACAGGAGCAGTATGTTTTCAAAGCAATAGAATCATTTAGGCTGAAAGTTATGGATTGCAGCTGTGTCCTTCACACTTAAAAACAACTTCATGACTACCTAGTCCAGGAAATGAGGCCACTTAGGTCTCCAGTGCAGCACATTTGCAGTAAAATTTATTTATTTCTGGGAATGATTTTCCTCTGGTTTATAGTATTCTGTTCCTAACTCAAATATATACACACATGTATATATATATGCTTGTATATGTGTGTATATATGCTTGCATGGTAATATGTATTTTGAATTTAATTCTTTGTCTAGTTTCTGAAATCTTTCCCATCTTTAGGACTTATTTGAATTTTTAAAAATGAAGTTTTTAGCTCTATCTTAATCTGTTTTACCTCTTATGCAATTCCAGTTAGTTGTGGTTTACCTGTAGCAAGTCTAAGTGAAGGCTTGGATTCTGAGGAAGTAGATGAGGAAGTGGAAGAGACTTAGAGACTGATACTGATGGGGATCTGGAAAATTCTGCTCTCAGAAAATGTCCAGGGATCTTCAGCTCTTTCTGTGAGCATTTCTGGGAACAGCAACCTCTGAAGCTTTTCCTTCAAAGCTTACAGCTTTATTTTGTGTAAAATGCCAGTAAATTTTACAGTGTGAAATAACAAGTTGCTCTGGGAAGGCATCATATTTTTTTTTTGCTATTGTGTTGCCATGCTATCTCTACCCTCAAACAAACTTCTTTTCTAAAGGACTGTCAAGTTTCTGTAAAGGACCAGGATAAAGGAGAGCTGGGATGGACTGTGTTCCTCTACTGCACCCTGGGATTTCCAGGTTGATTTCAGGGAACACAGATCTCCTTTTTACCTCATTTCTGAGCAGAGTATCAGTGGCTGTGAGTAGCAGAGCTTGCTTGGGGGCATTTAAATAATATGCACAAATCTTTGTCCAGCACAACTCCAGCCAAAATCAAGCTACAAGGGAAGGGAGGAGGCAGTGTCGCTTTTCTCTGCTCTTAATCATCTTACATTTTCCCCTATTATAGTATCTACTCACCTCTGCTTATTTTACTCATTCTCTTGTTCCTATTCTCTCAGCCCTCTACCCCTCCTGGCAGCCTTATTGCAAACTGGAGCTGTCTCAAAATTTGCCATCTGCCATGCTCAGTGGTGCCCACTCTCAGCAGTGGGTAGGAGGAGTAATGGTCTTTGATGTCTCTCTTACAGGCTCAACTCTCCAGCATCATGTGGAAGTCATTATTATTTTTGTATTCTGAAGCAAGGATGGAAGCAAGGAATCTCTGATGTCTTTTAAGATAACTGCAGAGCCATCCTTGGTTTCACATGAATCCCTTATGGTGCAGAGAACCACTTTGTCAAAGCTTTGTAAAAATGCTGAGAATCTGACAGAGTGCCTCCAAAAAGCTCCAGCAAACAATAATTACAGACCCCTCTTTTAACATTCTAATGCTTTTGGAGCTTTCATGATTTTCAGGGTGCAGGATCAGGATCTCTGACCCATAGGAGCTGGCTGTATCACACAATTCCTGATAAATGTGACTTCTCTTTGGCATCCATTGTGTCTTGTCAC